CCGCCTCCACCTCCAGCTGGGCCACCATAGACAAACGCTACGACGAGCTCACCGTCAAATCCAACTGGTTCCTCCACTCCTCCCTCTTTGGCGAATGCATAAAGATGAACAAAGAGTCCAATGAGTTTGCCGGAGAACTTTTCTAGGGACTTGCTCGGAGGCGGAACAAAACCGACGATATCATCAACAAGGCGCAACTGAGAGAATTCTGGGAGCAAATCTCCGATGAAAGTTTTGACTCCAGACTCCAAACATTATTTGACATAGTGGATAGAGACGTCGATGGAAGAATCATTGAAGAAGAAGTCACAGAGATTATAAGCATGAGTGCTTATGCAAATAAGCTCTCAAACATTCAGAAATAAGCAAAGGAATATGGAGTTTTGATCATGGAAGAACTTGACCTGGACAATGTCGGCTACATCATGGTTGAAAATCTGGAAACTCTGTTGCTGTAAGCTCCGGTTAGCCAATCTGTGAGCGTAAACGAAAGCCGTGTTTTGAGTCAACTTCTGACCCAGAAGCTGAAGCCAACGCAGGAGGATAACCCAATCCAAAGATGCCATCGGAAAAGGCGAGTCTAAAAGGTTCAATCGACCACCCACATGGAAAAGTTATGGATGTGTTTGCTGTAAAGCAAAAGCTACTTTTGTTTTTGTCGACCACCCACAGGAAAAAACTATGGATGTGTTTGCTATAAAGCAGGCACGCAAATCTGCAAAAGCAAGGAATAAAGGGAGTAGACCATGCCTGCTAACTAAACCTGCCTCCACGTGAAGGTTTCCTCCAACAGCTGCACATGTTATCCCATTATCCAACCATATGCCATACCCACCTTCTACAGCAGCTTTTTTGAATGATGTAATTTACTTTTCTTATCTTTTAGAGACATCTGTATAAACCCACCAGAGGGTAATCATAAATAAAGAAAGAAGGCAACATGCCAAAAAAAAAACGGCAAGCCCAAAGTAATCGGCTGGAATGTTATGTGAAGGGCGAAGGCCTATATGCCCAAAAGAGCCAGACCCTCTATCATCACTAACCAGGTGATCAAAAGTACGTCCAGTACAAATTATTCGGCAGCCTGCCGCTATAATCACCAACCAGGTGATAAAAAATACGTCCAGTACTCCAAAATTATTCAACAGCTTGCCGCTATTATCACCAACCAGGTGATCAAAAGTACATCCAGTACTACAAAAAGTTATTCAGCAGCCTGCCGCTATTATCACCAACCAGGTGATCAAAAGTACGTCCAGTACTCCAAAATTATTCGGCAGCCTACTGCTATTATCACCAACCAGGTGATCAAAAGTACGTCTAATACTCCAAAATTATTTGGCAGCCTGCCGCTATTTTCACCAACTAGGTGATCAAAAGTACGTTCAGTACTCCAAAATTATACATAAGCATCACTCATGTCAATCATAAATAAACATTCATGAGCATCACTCGTGTCAATCATACATAAACATTCATGACCATCATTCATGTCAACATTCATGAGCATCACTCATGTCAACATCCATGAGCATCACTCATGTCAATCAGCTTCGAAAGCTTCATTTACAAAGCTCCAGCTTCGAAAGCTTCATTTACAAAAGCTCCAGCTTCAAAGCTTCCCTTGCAAAGCTTCACCTACAAAGCTTCAGTGTAGGGTATACAAATACCGTCTCCGAACAACCGCCACTTCAGCCTATACATGGATTCAATTTAAGGTCTCCAGCCAACAAACTCTATTAACTAAAGACTTGGGGGACTACATTATGTACCATATATTGGGCTTCTGCAACTGGGCCTCATGAAAAATACTCGGGAGACTTAGTCCATTATTTATGTACTGAGGAGCGAACCCTTATTCTATAAAAGGGAATCCCTCACTTTCATTATAGAGTACCCATTATTTATGTATTGAGGAGCGAGCCTTTATTCTATAAAAAGGACTCCCTTACCATTGTTAGAGAGTATCGTTGCCTGCTGAGCAACCGCCTCGCCACGAGCCTCAACTCTAGCCCATCACTTATGTATTAAAGAGCGAGCCCTTATTCTATAAAAGGGACTCCCTCACCATCATTAGAGAGCATCGCCGCCTGCTGAGCAACCGCCTCGCCGTGAGCCTCAACTCTAGCCCATCACTTATGTATTGAGAAGCGAGCCTTTATTCTATAAAATGGACTCCCTCACCATCATTAGAGAGCATCGCTGCCTACTGAGCAACCACATCGCCGCAAGCATCACTCTTAACCCATCACTTATGTATTGAGGAGCGAGCCCTTATTCTATAAAAGGGACTCCCTCACTATCATTAGAGAGCATCGCCGCCTGCTGAGCAACCGTCTTGCCGCGAGCATCAACTTTAGCCCATCATTTATGTATTGAGGAGCAAGCCCTTATTCTATAAAAAGGACTCCCTCACCTTCAACGTCACAAACCGAGCCAATCAAAGCAACATAAGCCACAAGCCGAGCAGCCTCGCAACATGTGCTACTTCTAATTGAGCATCATTTCACATTGAGCACCACCTCATATCGAGTATCAGTTCTAGACGACATCTAGTTACTTCGGCCTACAAATGGACTGAATTTCAAGTCTCTAGCCAAAAAATTCTCTTGACTGAAGACTTTGAGGATTACTGTTTGTACCATACTTAGGGCCTCCGTATTTGGACCTCGTATAAATACTCGGGAGACTCAAATGTAACTATGTAATAAATGAAGGGGCAAATAAATAATAAGTGAAGAGCCATTGGTCTATAAAATGGACTCCTCACCTTCAAAATCCTCAATCCTCACTTTCCTCATTAAAAGGGCCAAGTTTTAGGCCAAGATTGAGGCAAGGCTTAGGCCATAGGAAGAGAGAAAATAAGCTAGAGAGCACACTGCCTCTAGCCTTCTTGTATATTCACCATTCAGAGTGAAACAATATCAACATCAGTGTGGACGTAGCCCAAACATTGTGGTGAACCACGATACATCTTGTGTCTCTACTTTCCTGCAGATTCATGGTCGGATTTACGTTGTCACAAGACTCCTCCAGTTTTGTGCATCAACACACACACACACATATATATATCAATTCAAGTCATGCTTCACATATCTATATTCATATGCTAACTTATCACATAATCATCACGTCTGCTAGCTCATCATGTATTCACCACATATGCTAGCTCATCACATATATTCATTATGTATGCTAGCATTTCATCACATATCTCATCATAATTATATGCTAGCAATTCACACATACCCCATCATAAATATATACTAGTATTTCATCAAATATCTCATCAATCATGGCTAGCATGTAAGTCGGAGTCACCTCTAGTGACCTATACGACATATTCATATCTCATCACATATCTCATCAATCATGGCTAGCATGTAAGTCGGAGTTACTTAAAACATAAATGTAGTCATACCATAACCCCATCAATTCAACTAATACCGTAAACTTACTTGAACTTACCTAAACTTACCTGAACTTATCTGTGTGTCCTACGTTCACCTTTGCAATTCAGAGCGTTAATAGTAATTATGTGCAAGGAATATACGTATGGATATGCCATGATGAAATCTAAAATAAAAAAATTTCATAGTATTTCCAATTATATAATACGATGTATTTCCAATATTATATAATCTCATTTCTTATATGGCTGCATCTAACGCCTCGTTAGACTGCTTACGTACCCTAAACAGGGATCAAGACATTCGTAGTTCGTATTAATCATGTATTGTAATACGCATATGGATATATCACAATGAAATCTAAACTCAACTATCTCATAGTATTTTATAACATATATGTATGTGTGTGTGTGTGTGTATATATATATATATATATGTCATGGCATAAATTTCTCAGTTTTTATTTAAAAGCATTTATAGAATTTTTAATCATGAAAAAATATGATAAGCAAGGAAAAATCCACTCACCTGGAGTCCGCGCTACAACTTCCTAGCACAAACATCGAGGCATCACGAACGATCGGTGCCTGTGACCAATTATCAAACCATATCTTAGAATTCTCGTCGATACAATACATAATTTACATCGCACATGAGTCTACGTAATTCGATCCAAAAGATCTACAAATTAGATCTCTGATCTGTAACTTCCAAAGATCTAAATTATGCTTCTAGAATAACATACTACAGTTTCGGAACGATCCAACAATCAGATCTCTGCCAATTGCCAAAACCAAGTGGCGGTTAACATTTTATTTTACGAACTTACAAATCCAATTCGAGAAGATCCGTACGTCGAATTCCTAATCCGTAAGTTCTTATATTCCTCAAATACTATGAATAATAACCTATTAAAGTTTGATGATGATCCAACGGTCGGATCATCGATTCATATAATGGCCTATTAACGTATCTTAGAGAATTTTGGTTCTAATGATCAATCTACGTCCTTAAATTCTCAAAAGTGAATTCCAGGCATCAAATTACTTTACTCTAAAGAAAGCATTGGAATTGGCACGGTATAAATGAACAGTGTTTTGTGGTGAATTTCAACTTATTTACAAATTTGCCACAGGCTCTATCTGCCGCTGATCTGCACACGCGTTGATGATCGCGGGAAGGGAATAACAATGGTAAAGCAGGCCTTTTCCGTTTCCTTCTCAAGCCCTCCTTGCCTTCTCCGTGTCGCGCACCTCGCCTTCTCTCCGTCGCACTCCTTACCAGAACTCCAATCAATGGTGAGGTGCATGTCGTTGTGTAACCCATCTTCAGCTCTGTCTCTTTCACTCTTGAGGTACCTGCTGTTAGATTCCATGTGCTGTCGCCGATCTACAGGTAAAGCTTCAATTTCCATATTGTCATTTCTGGAATTTGGGTTTTTATTTCAGTAATTTAATTGTGACTGTCAGTTTGTGCATGCGATTGAGAGAGAGAGAGAGAAAGCAAGGGAACTAGCGATGGAGCGAGAGAAAGAGAGAGTGAGTTTGGGATTGAGAGTGATTCTGGAGTCGTATATGAACGAACACGTTCCAAAATTCCACGAATGGATGAAACACCCCGCTCTCCTCCAAGCCACCGACTCCGAGCCCCTCACCCTAGACCAGGAATACCAGATGCAGCTTACCTGGACCCAAGAACCCAACAGTACTCTCTTTCTCTCTCTTACATGTGTTTGTGTGGGTTTTGGTAGATTCCTTTGCTTTTTCATAACAAAAACTGAACTGGGTTTTCTGGGTTTGACAAAAAAGTGGTAATTGTGGAATCTGATATTGAAGGTTTGATCTATCAGGAAAATTATAAAAAGGGTTCAATTTAGTTTTGACAAATGATTGAGGGTTTTTTATGTGATTGTATTAGTGGTTTGGTGAATGATTGAAGATTTGAAAATGGTTTTTGCAGAGTAGACTTTCATTGTATTGGATAAGCAATTGGTTGTGGGAGAGTTAGCCATGGAGAGCTTCATGCGGAAGGTTAACCAAATTTACAGTCTTTCTTCACAAAATTACCTTATGATTGGTTGCTGAGAAAAATTATGGAGACATTCAAATGATTACTTAAGAACAGTTGGTTGGATGGTTTTGGATGAAATCATAAGAAGTGTTTAATAAATTTTGTTCTTAATTTTACTTAAGAACAGTTTGTAATTTTCTATAAAACTCCCTGTATATTTATTATTTGTTTCCAATAGCAGGTAATTAGGTATTGTATTTTTTGAAAACTCCGATTAATTTTTTCATGTTCTTCTTTTCTAGTGGGAAGATTAGGGATAAGCTCCGTACCCAAACTCGAGAGAGAGAGAGGGCAATCTGTGGGCGCCAAATCCCAATGCGATCTCTGGAAAAGTTTGATCTTGCATTGATGCCTTTAACCTTGACGTGGTTTTTTGTCATTTTTGCATTTTGTAATTGGAATTCGACTTGGTTTCTTTAAATTTCGTTAATTACTATGATCTTTGAGTTGGGTTTTTGTAATTGTTGGACATTGTAATTGTAATTGGAATGGGGTTTTTTGTTCATTAATTCTTGAAAGTTGAGGTAGGATTTTGTCAATTTTGTATATGGTGGTTGTAATTGTGATTGGGATTATTGAACTGGATCCTGATTTGCTTTTTATTATGCAGAAATCCCTTTTAACATTCTGTTTAGTGCTTCAGTATCATGTATGCCTTTTGTTTTATATATGCCTATATTATTGTGATGTAGAATGGAGATGGTGCTCATGTTATGAGAATCTTCGACAAGGAGGTGCAAGCAGGGGACTCAGTTCGTAACTCTGCTCGCATGCTTGAAGAAACCAATGCTGCTGGGGAAACTATTCTCAGGAAATATGCAGAACAGAGGGAATTTCTAAAGGTATCACCCTATTTGTGCTCACCGCTATGCACCTCAACTTTCATGATTATTGAAAAGAAAAAAAAAGCAATGGTGAAACTGTGGCTCTGTCTATATCATTTTTGTTGAATATAAAACGTTCATTGGAGTACTTACTCAAGTTTTATAGCAAATTTTAACTACTAAAGGACAGTTGTATACTTAAGAAAATTGGTAGCTCTTGTGCACACATAGTAGTTGCTATAAACGAATAGGTTGAGTTAACGTTTGAGATGAGCATATGTGTCGCAGGATAGGAGAGAATCTGAGAGGAAATAGAGAGAATAGGAAAAGGAATTTATATACATTGTTTGTTAATTTGATTTTGCTAAATATTAATTTAACTGTAATTGTTTGCTTTGTCTTTTAGGTTTTTGGAATTCTGATGTTTGGTGGTTATTTTGTGTTTCGATTGAAGCATTTGGTAATGACCAGTTTGTTAACGTGGTCACAATGTTAATTCCTTTCTTTGCTTCTCGGTAGATGTGAGCATCCTCCCGTCACTTCCTAGATCATTGGTTGGTTCTTCTTGCTTGGTTTAATTGGGTAAATTATTAATTTCATGTATTGATACAATCTCATGTGAGAAATTAATAAAGCTTTGCATTTTTAATTTGTTGGTGTGTGATTATTGATTAGTTGGTTTGATTGAGTTGTTATATATTAATTTTTAGTGATAACATACTAATGGCATTCCAGAGCTGGTTATCTAACAAATTTGGTAGCAAAATAATTTCAATGTTGGTGCTTTGTGGATTTTGCATATTGTTACGGCTTCTTGAGACCTCATCATCTGTATTCTATGTGCTTTTGTTTTGTGCAGACGATAGTTCAAATGTATCAATGGTTCTGGAAATGCGATTACAAGTTTACATACATTCAGTCTACCAACAACATTTCTATGCACACAACTCAGACACATGGATATGTTACAATCTCTGCGACAAGTGAGGCCATTACCATAAGCGAATATCTTCATACATGTCAGTTCCCTTTTCTCACCCTCTTCATGTTTTGTCCAATATTATGTTTTTTATCTGATTTCATGTGTTTTCTTGATGCTTTTCTGTTCTTTGATATAGGTAATTTGTTATGTTTTCATGATCTGGGTCTTTTTTCAATTTGCATTTTGGTTGTCCAAGATTTCTAAGTTTTTGTATAAAAATATAAGAACAAAACTGCACATCGAGGAGTTTATGATGAACTTTTTGGAGTGACACGGTAACAATTCGCTTTAGGAATATGTAAAACTACTAATCATTGTTTGATAATTCCTGACATGTGTATAATGAACGACTTGGACTTTACCATAAATTAATTTAATTTCTATTGCAGCAAATCTGGTCATTTTCTGTGTAAGTTTCCCCTCATGGTTCAGTTTTGGCATTCCCCTCAAAACATCGTTTGTGTCATTTCCTCACTTTCTGTGTTCAGCTTACATACCTTACATATATATTGGAGACTACGACAATAAAAGATGTTAGTTGAATGTATATAAAAGGCAAGCTGCTTATCTTATCGACCTCATTCACTCATGTGTCCCTCTGTTAGTCCTCAACACTTTCTGTTTTTAATTACCTGTTGAAATGGCTACCTACACTGCAGGACACATATTATATGTGTGAACTACATGTTTCTTCTGTTTCTTAAGGAAACAGGCCCAAATGTGTTGGTTTTTTCCCATTTCTTGGTTCCTTATGTATTTGTTGGTTCTGTCTAATTTTTTGTTGTGGAATGATGCTTGCAGGTGAACTAGGTGCACGGTTTTTTGGGATGAGTTAGGAAGATCCACATGAAAACAACATAGAAGATAGAGAACTGGTATGCTGCTTTATCTTTCTATGGGATTTTTATGTTTATGTTCTGATGCTAAGAGGATTTTAAAATGTTCTAAATCTGTTTTGTAAATGTGCTTAAAGATTGCACATGTTCTTGAATATTAGCCATGTTGTTTGGATTGAATATGTGATTGAATATTCGAAAAGATACCATCTTGCTTGATTTCAATTAAAGACTACTAATTTGATCAGCTTATATAAAGTCTGTTTATGTTTGAGATATATTTTGTTCGAATCTCTAAACTGAACAGTGCATCTATAACCTCTAGGTCTGTATCATGCCTGGTGAGTTATCTGTGAACATCACTCTAATATATATATGGACTCATATAAGGAGTAGTTAGGTAATTAAGCTTCACACAGTAATTAGTGATGTTAACAATGAATAAAACATGATCAGTCTCCTTCCTCTCAAACAAGTTTCTCAGTAGAAGCCCTCATCTCTGACAGACAAATACAAATGGAAGCAGCATCAATGGGTAGTTGTTGTGTTTCCCTAAGATAAAATTAGGTGTGTGTTTTGGAAATAAAAGGAATTCATTCCACAGATATGTACATTCATATACGAACTATGCAAACAGAGCCTTTTCCTGTGAGATTTTAGGAACTGTGAAAGATACCGCATTCACAGCGGATGAATTTTCTGTTTTATTATTTTTTGTAGCTAAATAGTAAATTAGGCAAAGTTGATTTAAACTAATTTATAATGTTCATAGATTGGATTAGATCTGTATATGTTTATTTTAAGGAGAATATGTTCTTTAGTGAAGAAAAAGAAAAGGTTGATTGTTCTTTTACATTTCTATATTAATCTACATGATCAAAGTGGTGAAAGTTGTTTATGCGCACCTTTTACCGGATCCAAAGAGAATATATACTCGAATGCTTTAAGGCAAGTAAAACTGATCTAATTTGCATCACAATGATTTGTTTTCATAATTTGGTTGTATCTGAAAAGAAAAGAAAAGAAATGCTTGAATCAATTGCATAGTTATAAGACATTGTAAAGTTGAGGGTTTGATTGATAGGAGTGGAGACTCGGTTTGTGCCTCAAAATATACTCTCTTCTCTGTTGTGTGCTTGAATAACTCGGATTTGTGACTCTTGGATTGCTGAAAATTAGGTTTTTGCACCCCAACTATGAATTTTAGCATATTTTTTTTCTACGGATTAATGCAATCACAAGATTATTTTGTTGATTTTTATACATACGTTTGTGGATGAAGGGTTTAGGTGCTCTTGAAGATGCCCACCCTGATTTTTTTTACTACCCAAGCATTCCAACTTGCCCAGGTGCTTCAATCTTTTCAGTTTTTGGTAATTTTCGATTGCTATTTGATTGCTGAGAAAGAGAGGGAAAAAAAGAGAAATCATCAAAGTTGATATATGAATGCAAAAGTAAATTTGAAAAAAGTTTAAGTAATATATGAATGCCATATATTTTATTATGTTCAAAATTGAAATTAGAATTATGCTATTATTTGATATGAATGAAGTACATGGTGTTCTCCTTCAAAATTGAAATTAGATTTCTCCATCCCCTTAATTAAATGAAATATCAGAAAATTACTTTCCCTTTGCTTTGTTTGTCAAATATTATGCTTATATCTGTTTAATTTCATTTTCTATCAGCAAAAGAACTGTGATACCAATGTACTAATGAGTATTGTTTCAATTCTATGTTTACTCATCTTTTCCCAGGGAAATACTGCATTTAAGGAAAAGCCTGAAATAATGTTGTCGAGTGCTATACTGAAGCTATCAGATTGAACATGATGTGTGCAACTTATGATTGCAACCGTGCAACTGCTTACTTGGAGGTAATAGTCATTCTATTGCATGCATATCTTTAGAATCTTTGTTTTTATAACTATTAGTGAAAGCACTGCAGACCAAATCATGTTATATATGCTTATTGTAAACAGTTCTGTTTGTAAAAGGACAGTTGGGTGGTTTGGCGTTAGTTGCTGTTATCCAGATTTTGTATCTTTATGTGGAAATGAGTCGTAGCTGGTAGATGAGAAACAGAGTAAGCAAATTACGGAGATACCTCCAGAAGAGTACAAAACGCCACCAGTATGGATTGACTTGGAAATGACTGGTGAGGGTAAAATAAAGTATGTTCCTTCTACCCTTTTATTATTTGTGGATAAAATAATTTATGTTCCTATCATGGTTTCTTTTTATTCTCCAAAAATAGATTTTTAATATGCTGTTTACTGAAATTTCAGTCCTTGGAGTGAAGCTCCTTATAAAGGATGCTGCAGAGAGAACGGCATGTGGGAATTTACCTCTTAATGCATTTTTGTCTGAGGTATCTTCGTTTTCATTGCTACCCTGTTTAAATTAGCTTACATATGCTCTTCATGATTTTTTTTTTCCATTTATTTTGGATGATATACATGTTTCCCTATTTTCTTTGTTTGGCAAGTGCCTTCGCCCATGAGCGGTAGGTCTCGGGTTCGAGACTTGGGAGCAGCCTCTCCATAAATGGGGGTAAGGCTAGCCGACATTCACCTCTCCCAGACCCTGCGTAAAGCGGGAGCCTTGTGCACTGGGTACGACCTTTTTTAAAGAATCTCCTTAAGCCAATTGTAAATTGTAACTATATCCTTGTTTTTTTTTTGTGATTCCAGTGGGGCCCTCATGACACTGTTAAATCCAAACCGAAGTTAATTTGATATATGTTGGATACAATGGCAGTTCTGCTTCAGCTATCCATGTAGGGCGCCCACGCTTCAATGATCGTGGATTGCTTCAACTCTGTTTCCATCCCCTTTTCTTTCCCTCTTTTCCTCTCCCGACTCTCTCTGCAACCATCCGTCAAATCCCCTCATCCCTCCCTTTTCTCAGCGGTACATTCCTATTACGTTCCAACCGTTTCTACGAAAAAGCACTGTAAATTCGTCAAAAAATCTGAAACAAATAGACACGTTTTGAGGAGGACAAAGTGAAAAAAAAAATCAAGGTGATTGGTGTGTATGATGAGTGCTTCAGAGGTTTTCTACGACCGGAGGTCTCGCTACAACAGCCGAATCTCCACCGATCTAGGGTTTGACTCCCTCCCTCCTCCTCCGACAGTTGCCCGAAGTCACAACCTTAATCATAGTCACCACCACCGCACCTACCTCCCGGTAATTTCGTAATTTGCAATTCAATTTGGTAATTGATTGAATCGTGTGTTTGGGTTTAGGCTTATCTTGCATTTGGGTTTGTTTGCAGGAGCGGGCAGCTATTGGGCTCAAGCAGGGTGGGATCCACCAGGGTTCTAGAAATAGGGTCGCCGGAAGCAGTGGCACTTTGAGCGAGAGCGAGAGACTTCCGGGGTCTGTCTGCTCGCCAGGGAAAGGCTGCTGAAGAGGCTGAAACGGATGCCTCGGTTCTTCAATTTGATTCGAATAATTTTTTTACCCAGAAAAGCAGTGTTTCCTGGTGAGTTTTACAGTTTTCTCAATGTTTTTGTGATTTTGGATTTGCAAATTTGTTTTCTTTTCAAATTTCCTTTTTTGATTTTGGGGGTTTTGTTTATCGATTCTCTCACTCATCTCTCAGCTCTCTCTCTCTCATTTTTGAGGTACATGCCATTGGATTCCGTTTGCTGCTGCTGATCTGCAAGTAAAGCTTTCAATTACCATATAAGGTTTACATTTTTCATGATTTCTTGAATTTGGGTTTTAAACAATGGAAATACTGCTAGATTCTTATCATTATGTGCAAATTACTGGCAATTTGGTTGGTGCCTGAGATTTAGAGAATGGCTCGCTGCTTTATTTTCTTTTTCCTTCATTATTACTGTTTTCAAAATTTTTATTGCTGGGTATTGGTAACTTGTAGTCTGTGAGGGCTTCAATCTGTTGGAATTTTGAATGGTTATTGCTCCATCAGAATTTGGGTGACCCAAATTTTGAATTAGAAGAAACCCATTTCATTAATATTTTTGGTGGATTGGTTCTCTGTGTTTTCTCTGTTATTTCTCCCCCAGTTGGAAAGTGGAAGCCCCAACTTTTGAGCTCAGAGCTTGAATTTCTCAATCGTTCGTTTCTCTGCACTCTCATCAGTCATTCTTGATCCTCTCTCTGAAGAACTGGGTAATTTTCCAGCTCTATCAAGTAATACTCCATTTAATTGCTTAATTGAGGTTTTTTGTTTCTCTTTTTCTCTCTTTCATTAGTTAATTGGCTTTGATGTTGGGCTTAAGTAAATGGGAAATCATTAATTGGCATTGTCAAGATATAATTATGTGTTTTTGGATTTGTGAAACGATTTGGCTAATGAAGATAGTGGTTAAGATAAATTTTTCATTACGAAAGAGAACATTGTTCTTCATTTGCCCACGGTTTTTACTACAAAGTTAAAACTACTGTGTTTTTGTTCAATTGACTGCAACTCATGCTGCAGTTTGCTTCATAAACCTCTACGGTTAGCTTTCATACAGTATGTTGCAAGTTTGAGGATATCTCTTCATCTTAATTTATGCTCTCTCTGGTTGCTTCAAGTTTGTAATTTTACGTGCTACACTGCCACTTGATTTGATTATAAAAATGTAAAACAAAATCCGTCCATGATTTACAAATTTGTATTCGATTGTTGATGTTTTTCCAATGTAAGGCATATGTTGCACAAGTGTTGTTTGTGCTGCAGGGCATATATTTTGCCGTCTTAACTGCCTACAATGCATGACACATATTATATGTGAACTAAATGTTTCTTCTGTTTCTTAAGGAAACAGAACTTTTTGGGAAACCATCTCTTTCTAATCAAAGACATTCAGTTTCTTCCCACTCATTGTACAATGTGTTTATATGTCAACTCACTTGAATGTATATAAAAGCAAAACCGCTTATCTTATCAACCTTATTCACTCGTGTATCCCTTTGTTTGTTCATAATTATGTTGAATTTATTCAACTTAAATGTGTTTTATTCATCTGATTACGCTTGAACCAGCTAGTTCCCGCGGCATCGTGCGGGCCTAATTTCTAGTATAGCCTAAAAATAGCATTGGTGGCCCTTTAGCCACGCGCTGCCGTGGGTGGCGGTTGGCCGCCCCTACTCGTCGGAAAAATCAACTATCTTTAAAAATTACCAAAATTTTCAGATTTGAAGATCTCAATGAGTAGAACAACTTTCATACCTATGACCAAGGCCAATTTGGCCTGGAAATGCTCCAATTTCATCAAAATCCGTCGGAACCCTAGAATTGGGTGTTCTTGATTCGTCCCCAATTCGACTCCGACGTTCCAACCAATGATTGGGCATTGTTCTAGGCCTCAAGGGAAGTATATTGGTGGTGACAATTGGAAGAAATTGCTTCAAAATGGGAGAATTTATACAAAACCCGTCGGTGTCACCATCGCCAAAAGTCACGAATTTGACCCAATTTCCATCTAATCTTGATAGAAGAATGAAGGGGAAGAGGTATGGTGATGATTGCAGGAGGAAATGGGGTGAAATTCTCCTAAAAAAATGGCTCGAAAACGTCGGAATTCCACCGGTTTTGAAACCGGGTTGGGTGCGGGTTCAAGGGATCCAGCCGATCCTCTCCTTTTCTTTCTCCCTCCTTTCCCTTCTTTCCTTCTTCTGGTTGGTCACTCACCTTTCTCTCTCCTCTCCTCATCCGGTCTCTTCTTCAATTTTCCAGATTGGGCAGCTTTGTCCAATCCCTTTCCCCCCTCTGTTTTTCCTTCTTCCCGACGCCCTCTTCCTTCTTTTTCCCATAATTCTAACAACAATTAATAAGATAATAATACTTCTAAATATATACATATAAATATATATATAAATAGTAATCAAAATAAAAGTATTTCTCGGTTTAGAGTTCCGTAGAACTTTAACCGTAAATTCAAATCCTCCTCTGCTTGCGTCTACGAGCCCGTGTTGTCGAATACTTCGAGGATACGCTAAAGTAACATTTCATACGCCTCACTATACGCTCATCAACGAAAATCAAAATCCTCGCCTCTAAGGGCACTTTTGTAAAATCATGCCTTTAAAAATCATAAAATTGTAAAATTAAAGACAGGCTATCACAATCTACCCACCTTAAAGAATTCCGTCCCCGAAATTGAAAATCATTGTTATACTACACTCGAAGATAGGAGTAGAAGATATATATACATAAAATAGAAATCAAGTTAGAACGTATGCCAATGGAAATATGGCATTCTGTTGCGGTCATAATGTAATTATTCCTCTTTTATGCCTTCGAGCTCAAGTCTTCCTTCTCTTTCTAGGTATAATAATGCTACATAATAGACGGTAAAATAATTTTCCTCAAAAATAGTCGTCCTACAAGACACCGTTTTCAAGGGCCTTATGATGCTACTTTCGGAAAACTGAAGTGACCAATATACCCAAACAAGCTCAACCAATTCGTAAGCCTAAATCTCCCTTTCATAAAACAAATAAATAATTGTTGTACTTGTTTGGAAAGGTTGTTGCTCGCTCATGGGGTTTTGATCACTGGCGCACGTGCTTGCCAAGTTGATCTATTATGAATTCCCTACTAATCAAGTGTGAAATCATGTCAATAAGGCTAACAGGACACCCAAGAATATGAGCGTCAAGACAAATTCAAGAAATCTAGAGTATACGGTATCTGAATGAATTATGCAATGTCAATATCTAAACGATCTTCTTGGACAACTTATCAATCTCCTAAATCACATGAGGAATATACTAGTGACTCAAAATCAACCCAATTAACTTTAACAGCATGAGGTGAGACTAAGAGTACAACCATAATTGGCGCGGACTAAAATATTAAAAGTTGAAAATTTCAAAAGTAAGATAATAAAATAAGATGAATTACGACGGAATACTAAACAATTCCGCCATTACCTCAGACCAAGAAGAAGGAAGGTCGAATTTAAGAGGGAACTAACAAGGCTTCTTGATGATCAAAAGTCACATCACACATTATTAGAACTACCATGGATCAAAAACAATTTTCCCAAACTGTTCTTCCTTCGATTGCTACCACTTTAGAACCATCATCGAGCAAGACAGTTCTAGAGTTTTGCCATAAATAATTTTGCAGGAATTCTAATAGATGATATTCTAATAGATACTACAAAAAATCAAAACTAGCTGAAATTTCCAATCTCGAAAGGATCAATACTAACGGTGGAGGAATAATGATAGAATTATTTGATAAGAAGTGAAACACGTAATACGATACCGTATAAATACACCAAGATGATAATTTGTTGGGTTTCTGATTGTCCAAACTTGTATAAAGATCTAGAAGTAACTTTTTCATAATGCCATCATCCTCCAAAAGTAAACAGAAAAGAAACTGTGGTTATTCAGTTTGTTTGGACCTTCTTTCCTCAACATCCCACTTCTATCTTAGATGTTTTCACAAGTGTTTTGTTTGTTGAAATTTCAACGCCCATTTTAAGGAAAGAAATCATTATCAACACTTTAAGCTTTGAGACTGGAAGAATATGGCTTTCCACTTAAGTAAAGCTACCACCAATTGAACAACACATGAGCATAACATTTGTTCAGCATCATAATTATTGGTTTTCACATTCTCAATACATACAAAATATTTCGTACTAAAAGTTGTATAATGGTATTTCCCAACTCCATTCATATGACAAATGATTATAATCATTCAAACCATTTCCCGATAGGTTAAAGATAATTCCATATCGATACTCGTATTTTCCAACTGAAACAGAATAGGACAAACTAAAAGTATTCGAGAGTAAATATGTCCTCATACAACCGGAAAGATACCCTATAGCGCACTCATAGCTATTGATTAAATTCTTCTACTGCCACTATCAAAACTTAGTCCTTTCCAAAAGTAAGTGTATTTAAGAAGTTCTAAGATTGATAAAGATTTTAGACACGTTTTCCATAAGTAATTTTGTACAATTTACATTTTTTTTTTTTTTTGTTTTGTTTTGTTGTAGCGGATAGTTTAATGACCGGAATATCTTGTTTTCTGCTTGCCAAAATGCCAATAGTTTAATGCTCCATGCGGAATCAGCCTGCCAAAATGCCAATAGCTTAATTTGTTGAACGAAACAGGGTAAATAAAGAATACACCGACGAAGTTCACATCTCTCCTGTTTTCTGCTCTACAAACGTATCAGTTCATTTTCAAGGCTGTTGAAAAGAGTCCACTCCTTGCTCATGGTGGTTACCCGTCGGCTGGGTGACAACCGGAATATCCAAGCTACTTGCTTCTGGTTGGGGGGTCGACTTCTCTTACGTCGGCTATCCTTGCCTCTTGAGCCTGAATGTCACTCCATTCACGGTCACCAACTGGCTGTAGGTTGACTTGACCGTCAGCCATGTGGACTACACTCTCCCCTGGTACCGGAACTGCTCTAGAAACACTGAGGCATGCTTTATCAACATTTTCTTCAGACAAGTCTACATGTTTAGTCAAGGGTGTATTTCCAATATCTGAGCAAGACTCAGACTTCTCGAACACTTGCTTTGTATCTATGTGATGCCTGATAAAGGGAAAAAGGTTGATTAATCAACATTGACGATAACTTGATAAGGGACAAAAAGGATTCAATGCATAATAATCCCGAGCAACTTATAATATAAAAGGCAGAAGGTACTAAACCTCTGAAGTTGTGCTTGCAACGTATTCACATATTCCAGAAGCTCTTGCTTGTGTTTCAGCGCGGCTGATTCTTTCTGCACAGCCTCCTTTATTCTAGCTTGAGCATCTGCCTCGGCAACCCTGACCTTCTCCTCTGCCCTCACAACAGCTGCTTCTAATATCACAACACGCTCTCTAGCTTTTGCGAGCTCAGAACGCCACATGTGTGCCTCTTGGAGAGCAGAATCTCTCTGCCTAGTCAATTGGTCTCTTTCTTTGCTCAAGGTCGCAACCTTTTCTTCAGAATCTTTTAGCTACAAACACAAACAAAAGCCATAAATAAAGTAGAACAATCAAAAAGTTCTCTCAAACAAAATTCAGCTTTTCTTTTTCCACACTAAGAATATATTGTAATGGAAGGGGAAAAGAAAACAGATCCCTAATTATTCAAATATACTACACATTTAAGACGTAGCAAAGCTCATCATACCTTTGACAAGGAAGATTCCAGCTGCTTCGCTGAATCCTTTTTTAAGCGATCAATTTCTGCACAAACAATTTTCCTTTGTTCATCAATTGTATGAGCTGCAGAGGCTGCAGCCTCAGCAGCTTCGGCAGTCTCAGTTAATTTATCTGCTATTTCTTTAATTGTTGAATCGCGTGAACGAAGGTCCCTAGCCAAATTATGTAGTTCGTCATCTTTGACCCGAAGTGTCTCCTACAGGACACAGACAGTCACATAGATGCTGGGTGAACTGTGAACATAATAATCACAAAGAGCAATTACATTTAAATGACTCAGAGCTTTTCATTTAGAAATAGAATATCATTCTTTAACAAACTATACTGTAAAGTGCATTTCAAATGAATTTAGGGCACTGTATTCTGAGAACAGAATTATATCACAAGTAGAGTACCTTCATAATTGCAAAATCATCCATTGGCCCATCAGTTGGCTTATTGGTTATCACTCCCAAAGCATTTCTCAAAGAAATGTGCATTGCTGCTTCGATTTCCTTAGAACTCTCCGAAGCAGTTGAATTGGCAGCAGCAACTACTGCTGCAACCGTTCCTAGTTTTGCAGAGCCATTGCCACTCAAGGAATTCACAGCTTCTTTATGGGCCTTTAGAACCAATTGTGTTGCTCTGG